GAATTATATGCATGTGGATAGAGTCATTCGTCAAAGTGATACATTGTTACGAAATTGAAGAAAATTTTCTTTCATTCGCTTCAACGATAATTTGGCGAAAATTCACGAAACGTAGCTTATTTTTGACGTTTTAATGCTTCTCAGCATGAAAAGAGCGAGGATTTTCTTGATTTCAAGGAGAAATATTTTCATCTCCTGTTCGAGTTTTATCACTTTAAATATAGGCGCGTTAATATCCTTAAAATGGCAAAAGAAGAGGTAAACCCGTGAGAATTTCTTTCGAACGTGATTATTTCAAATATTGGGATAAAATCCAGCAGAAATTACCTGCCTACTTTGAAGTTTTAATTATAAAAATGTATCGTCCAATTTTTTTTTTTTTTTTCTTTTTCTTTTGCCGCTGCAATATACTTTTAATCATGGCATCCATGTTCCTAGTTGAGAAGATAAATTTATTTCGCCGGAATCATGAATATTTATATCCTTTACACGAGTCAATTTTATCTCCTATGAAATTCCCGAATAATAAGCTATCGTTACTTTAACGTGGAAATTCCAACTTGTGACTAAATCTTCAATCGATGAAAGAAGTTTGTATTTTATTCTCGTAAATCGATAAAAATAAATATAAAAATAAATATATCGTGGAGAATTAATCGCAAAATAATTTTCTTCTTCGTTCTACTTTTTCAGAAAGGAGAGAAAATATTTTTAGAAAAATTTGTGAAATTTAAATCTTCGTTCTTTCACTGTCAAAAATACGATATCACGCGAATATCGAATTATACGTTCGGTAAAATTTTTAAATTTTATTTTTATCGAAAATCAAAGAGAAAAGAAACGTAAAGAACAGATTTCCTTATGTTCCAATTCGATATTCAATATTTTACTTAACACGAGTTGGTCAACGAATTAAATCGATTCGTAGAAAAGAGAATCAACGTGACTGCGGCCTTCTTTTATAATATTAATAATAATTGATATAACGAATGAATTTTTAAAACGGACACATTGATATAATTGAATTAAATATAACGTTCGAATAATGAGAATTAATAATTGATTAAAAATATAGAAAGAGACGTAAGTTGATTAAAAATACATTTAAATACGGTGCAATGAACGTATAAAAAAAATTAATAAACTCAAAGTGCGCACAATGACCGACTACGTGTTAAATATTAAATTAAATAAGATATTGAAATATCAAAGATAAATAAAATGGTCTATTATGTACACATATATAAAAAAAAAAAATATATATATATATCCATCACCAGATCTACCACAGAAAGGGAAGAGTTTTGAGGAAAGGACTTGGACAAAGTTTCGGATTTTCAACTCGATTTACTCCTTCGCCGTGTGTACTTGCTTTTATGCTAGAGTCTGTTAAAGCACGATGCTTCGTTTACTCAGGTTTACACTGTTACATTGAATTTTGAGCACTCATATTAGCCGTTCGTAGTCGCTGTTTGACTTCCATACACGTGTTTACACGCCACTGCGGGAATCTAAATCGAATCAACTGGCTTCCACTTTATTTATTTTTACACTTTATATTTTGATTTATATTTGAGATCGCTTTACAATTTTTTTTTTTTTTATTTTATTCTATATATATATATTAATAAATTTTTATTTTTAGAATTGCTGTATTTTCGAACCGCAAATTTTTATTTATATTTATTTGTTTGTTTTTACATTCCTATTCTTTGCTCGTTATTTTATAAATTATCGATCATTATTTCCTCTTTTCTTTTTAAATATGTTTTTTTTTTGAACACTATATTTTTCATTTTATTAGGATATTATTTATTGCGATGTATTAAGCCACTTATTTCGTTTAAAGGTAACGAAAAATATCAAAATAATTTCTTTTTATGCATGAGAAAATTTTTGGTTCGATGCTTTACAACGATATGTGTAAAATTCGTGAAAAACGAGAATACACATATCTCTCGAGAATCGAACGCGGATCAATTTATTCAAAGACAAGTACTCTACATCACCTATGTCTTCTGCTATTTTTATATTTCCAATATCTGTGTGATCCGTTAAATAAAATGCTAATTTCACGTTATCATTTCATTATAAATTACAAATTATTAATTATACTACCTAATTCTTAAATAAATCTAGTTTCTGAGAAGAAGAAAAAAAACAATAGAATACAATAAAATATCTAGTTTTAATCTAGAGAATTCTAGAAAGATCTGTGGAAAGTTTCTTTTACAAATAATTTTTATATATAACGTTATATAATACATACCGTAGCTGGTATTCTTGTTACAATTGTTACTCTCTACTTTTCATTACGTTTAAAATATATTTCGAAAAATCTCACATATTTTCCTTCTCCAATAAAGATCTTCAATCATAAAAGTTCACGAGATCTCTTTCCTCCATACACATTCTTCGACTATTATTCCCTATTATTTTTATATTAAATTATCGAAACAAATAAATAAAATTTTTACCCGAATAAAATCCTACACGCTCGAATTAATCATCATCGGATGGTTTTCGAAGATTCCTCAAATATTATCATAATCTTGTCAACGAGCCACTCTCGTCGGGGACGAGATGTCACCTCGTAAAAAAAAAAAAAAAAAGAAAAAAAAAAAACAGCGTGGAAATGATACGGGGGCGCATAAAGTACCGCAGTGGTCGAGCGAGCCGGCATATTGGAAACCATCCAATAACCCACTTGGCTTGGTGTATCGTTGCCACACGAGAGAGGTAACAAACGCAAAAGGAAGGGAATGACGTTACCGACCAGCGGGGGGGGGTGGGTGGGGGAGAAAGAGCACGGAATGGAAGCAAACAAAGAGAGATACTGTGAAATAAAAAAGGAGGGAACAGGGAAGGGGGGAGGGGAAAAAAAGATACGAGGAGAATGGAATAAACAAAGAACGATGCGAGAGAAAAGAGTGCCCGAGGCGCGAAACGAGAAATTGCAAGGGTGGAGGGCGAACGATAGGCTGTGAAAAAAAAAAAAAGAAAAGAAAAAGAAAGAAAGAAAGGAAGGAAAGAAGGAAGGAAGAAAAAGTCGAAGAAAAGGATAAATCGTCGCGTGCTGGATGAAATTCATTGGCCGCGAATTTCGTTGGGAATTTATCAAAGAATTTATCGTGGTTTCGATTCAGGCTTCTTTCACGTTTCTCGTTAGAGACGCGGAGAGAAGTTGTGCGCGCATTTTCGAGGAACGATTTCTATATTCGAATATACGATACGAGTAATGCGTTAATGTAATTATATTTACGCGTTATTGAAATTTTCGTTATGCGTCGCGTTCAGCAATGGAGGGGAGGGGATAGGGAAAGGGAGAGGTTTTAAAATTCATATAATCGAATAAAACGCGCGAGAAACGTCCACGTGACTTGAATCTCGATGCTACGTGCCATCTGTTCGCGACAACTGACGCTTCGTTGTATGAAAAAAATATCGTTGATTATGATTGAAGATTTTATGTTAATCGAAAATGAGAAATACGATTGCGAGGGAGAGAGAGAGAGAGAGAGAGAGAGAGAGAATAGTATTTCGATCTAAATTTTGATCGATTTACAACATTTATAATATGTAAATAATGATGAAAATAATATTGTAAATATAAATAAAATTTTATAATTAGAGCGTTCGCGATGAATAGTTATACAGCTCATGAATATATATAATAGGAAATATATATAATAGGAATTTATTTCAGAAATCGTTGCTCGATTATTTTAACGAAGATTTCGAATTCTAGAGTGAATAATTTTTTGATTAAATTTGCTTATTAAAACTTATTTAAAAAAATATAGAATCAAAAAAATGAGAAAGTGATTTTTAATCCACTCTGCATATGCAACGTTCTTTAACGCGATTTTCAACGCGACCCGAGACTCGATACCCGTAATTAAAATAAACTTTCGTAAAATTTGGATTCGGCCATTTTTAAATTAATTTTCTATTTATTTATCTTTGAAAAAATTTTTACGGTCGAAGGAACATAGAAAATTGCTTTTCACTCTTCTCGTTCTAAATTTACAACACATATTTTTCACTTCGAACGAGATTTCGAAAATTCAAGCTCGATCCAGTTTTCGACCCGACCTGTAATTTTAATACACTTTCAACCATATATCACTTCCGCTGGCCATCACAATCGAATCCTTTATACCTGTATACGCCGTATACCTACACGTATACACGGCTCTTAATATCACGAGGATATTTCACGGCGGAAACCGGACAAGAATCCGAACCAGACTATGGCGAATCGATTCCCGTCTGCATTTTAATTTCACTGGCGGGATCTTGGCCAAGAAAGAAATGGAATCGTCTAGTGGCTCTTTCACCACCGACCAACCGGAATTCGCCCCTTTTTTCCTCTATCCTGCCGACGAAGATTCAGAAATAAGCGCAAAATGCTTTCATTAGAGCTAGCGCGTGAATTTCTCGTTGGATGCGTCCTGTTCGAAGCTCGAATCCTCTGCTGGTTATACCATATATATATACCGTATCTTTCTCTAATATGTTTTTTTTTTCTACGTTTAAACGTATGAAAACTGGAAGAGGGGAAAAACTCGAAGAAAAATGAACCACGAATGAGTTTTGAGAGTAGATCGAAAGTAGGATGGATAATTAAATTGCTGCAATAAATTGAATCGCTTTGTAATGAAAATTATTAAATTGAAAGATAGGTACTTACTTTCTGCTTTAAATATTTCGCGAGTATATTTAATCGATATATAATTTTGCGTGAAAGTAAAAAAAAGCTTCTGTTATTTTTCTTTTTTTCTTTCCTTCCTTCCAAATTGATTTGATATTCGTAATATTGAACGAAGCTTACGTTCGAAAAAGTTGAAAAAGTCAAACGCGTTTCTATATTTTATAATTAATTTTCACGTTCAAAATTAGCTAAAAGTGAACAAGTATATTGCGCTTTATTTTATTTTCTTCATCTACGTAGAAAGAATGCAACGCTCATTAAAAAATTGTAATGATTGCTCACTTACCCTCCAAGGTTCCGGTGTAGGCATGCATCGGGTCGAAGGCAATTTGTCGGCCGTTCGATCCCTCGAACACCACATTTTCGTGGAATAAACTCGTATCTCTGATAAGCCTCATCTTGAACACCCTGAAATAAAAATAAAAATTAGAAAAGAAATTAATAAAATTACATTAGCAAGATTATTAAAAACGAAAACTCCTTACATCGATAATCAAGTATCCAGATGTACGATTGTTCGTTATATTAATCCGCAATATATAATATCGTTGAAAAATTTGCATACATTTAATAAATAAAATATGACGTTTTACGTGAAAATTGCATAAACCGCCGCTTACAGGATGCATACGTATACGTATACATATGTATCTCGGTCTACCGATAAACGTTTCGATTGAAAATAAACGGGATAAAAATAATTTAAACGGATAGATAGGTATTCTCGCGATACATCTCGTTCAACTGCAAACGTTTGTCGATGCATGATGCTTTCACAAAATCCCGTTATTGTAAATGTAATTCAAACCGATTTATTACATTTGAAACAATGAATTACGAACACTGCTCCACCGGTAATATCGGTTTTCAAAAATAAAATATGGAATCTAATATAACGTATAAAAGTAAAAAATTGCGCGAATTCAATTACTAAATTCTTCTAAACCTTATAATATTTGTTCAAATAATCCATCACGCCAATCTATAATACAAATCTGTAATACAAAATCTACTGTTTTATTATCGTCACTATATATGCATACACACACACACACACATATATATATATACATATATTTCTTTAAAAATCCTTTTCTTGTTTACAGTATTCGCATACCGTTGCACGATTAACATTAAAGATCACAAAAAAAAAAAAAAAAAAAGAAAACGCGCCATCATTTAATCATATTTACGATATTAACTTAAAAGACAGGCAAACAGATTGAAGCCGGGTAACGTTGCTATTAACTAAACTTCACGTGTACAGGTGTGTCGCATAATAATCGCTGTGTGTAACGCGACATGGGCCACATATTGTAACCGGTCCCTTACGTGTTCCAGATAGTCGCGCGCACGATTTACATGCGACCGTGTACAATCGATAATCCGATCCGAGGGGGGAGGGGGGGGAAGGAGGGGTGCGTGGATGTTTTCACCTAATTATCGTCTCTAAGCACAACGATATATCCCACATCGATGATGATGGTCGCCTCTCTTTTCATGGTTAATACCTCCTCCCCCTCCCCTGATTTCAATCATTCATCACGGAGAAAGCTGTTCCAGCGTTTGCGCATCGCGATAATGTAACTAATGAGACATTGAAAGCAACGCGTGCACGATTAATTCGCCGCTGATGAAGTGGTTATCGAACTGCTTTCCCCCCGTGCGTCCAACATCAGGGCTTTGTCCCTTGAAAGGAAAGAGGATCGATCAACGAACGTATATATATATATATATCTTGGTAATAATTTCTTCTATATTTATCCTTCCTCCACTTATTTCTCGTGGAGCAATCATCGACTTCCGGTTTCGACAACCTCGAAATGGAAAACTTGTCTCCGCGAGAGAAGGAGAAAAGTGTCGTTTCGGTTAACGAAGGGAAGGGATGGAACGACTTTTAACCAAGGGTGTGTAATTTCTGATCCAATCCCTCTTCCACGGAAGTTTACAGAGAAGTTGTTCCTCCGTTCCGAAAAGTTCCACTTCGATATATCGATATCGCGTACACACGTACATGTATATGTGTATATGTACATGTATATGCAAGATAAACTTCGATTTTGTTTCCCCCTTATATAAGGAGGAGGGGAGGTGATATAATATTATGCTCGTGTAAAATCGAAACGAGGGGGGAGGGGGGGGGGATCATGCAAACGATACGAGAGTTCATCTTTCATCGATTCGCGCGCATTATGTCAATTGTCGGTGTTTTGTATGCAAAATAATAACGAGCGGCCATCTCACTTTTAACAATTAATTTCGCCAATACGAGGGAGAGAGAGAGAGAGAGAGAGAGAGAGGAAGTAATGCATCGAAATTGGTAATGTTCCGCCCCCTCCCCTATATACTACAGGGAGCATTAATTAAATTACAGCTGCGCGTGAATTACCATATCGTTATACCAATAATCATTTTACACCGTGTAAACGCGTGATTTAGATGCAACATCTTGTATCTATATGTATATATATATATATGAAAGAGTATCTCAAAAATGTGAATATTTTTCTTCTTCTTTTCCTCGATCGAAAACGAGAGATCGATCGATGTAATGCAAACTGGAGGACGATGATAATGCGAGTCTGTATTACTACTAGCTTGCTTCGTGTGTGTTCAAAGTATGAGAAAGAGAGAGAAAAATCATACATATTTATACGGTTGGGCGGGAAACATTTAACGCCCCATGGAAACGCGCGCAATACATATAAATGCGCATTATGCGAAAGTAATTACGGAATTGGTAGGTTGAAAATTTACATTTCAGGGATACCGACGAATTCGAATGGCCGGGATTTAATGAATTTCCATAATGGACCGGGCAGGGATTCCTGTGGAGGAGTTTCGACACGATGGAAAAACTGTTTAAAACACCTACACCTCGCTGTTTCTTCAAGAAATACCGCTTATCTTTTAGGAAGCTTTCCTTAATAAAATATTTCTCTCGAGGAAAATACCTCTTAAACCGGGCGAATAATACCGATTTATCGAATAATCTTGCGTTCAATTAAAAGGGGTGACTTGTAAAAGGATCGGGACTGCAAATGTGACTGGTCGAATAACATTTTCGATCGAATATTATAAAAATATACACACACGTTATTGGGACATTGCACGAAAATCTAAAGATTTAGAAAAGAAACGAGATTTTTCTGTAACACGAAAAATTTGTTTGTGTAAAAAGTAATTATAATTAGTTTACTGTTTTTTATTTATTAAACGAGTCAAAATGGATAGAAGATTTGACAGTATGAAAGTGATGTTAAATTTTTAAAAAAGTAGAATTTGTAGGAAGAACATTTTTTTTAATCCTCACTCACAGTGTTTTATAGTATATATTCACGTATATTATTTTCTATAGTTCCTACTATTTTGCAGAATAGTGGAAGAACACAAGCGCAATCAGAAAAGTAAGATAGCTATACGTAGAATCTACGTATGTTACATATGTAGAAAAATATGCAGATATACAACAGATATAATAAGAAGTCATTCTTGGATAAGTAGAATAAGACGATCGTATTCAGATATGTAAAGCAAGGCGGGCATATCTGGATATAAGTAGAGTAAGACAGTCATTGCTAGCTGTAAAAAAAATGGCTATAGTCAGATAAATGCAGCGTGGTTCATAATCAGAAAATAGAATAACAACTAGTATACATAATCAGGCAAGTGGAATAAATTTGTGGTACGATCCAAATATATTTTTCAACGCGCATTATATTTATTTTAATAATTGAAAATTTTTAATTTCATTTAATTATGAAAAGGAATAATACGGCCCTTTTTATTTCCACCATATTCTATATATATCCCGACCATCACCGAGGTGAAATCGTGTATTAACGGAACTCATTAGCTAACAATTTTAGTTGAAACGAGTTGAATAGTTGGCTACATTCGCACAAGTGTCGAGCATGAAACAAATATCGTTAAAGTAATTAGAGGCAGTCGTTAATCAAATACCGGCCAAATACCTTTATACCGCGATAGAAAGTTTTATCATTCTCGATTTCTGTCAAGAATTAACAAAAACAAGGAAAAATAAATTCGATTGACCGATTTTAAACTTTTATTTTATTAACAAAAACTCGCGAGTGAATCCCATTTCCTTGACAATTGTCAAATTGTTCTCGGCAAAAAGGAAGGATGTAATAATATTCCCGTTCTAATGTAACGACAAGAATCGTGAAAGGAAAATATAAGAGAAATGAATAACAATGATGTTCTACGACTCGTGTAAATTCACCGGTATCTCTTATGCAACTTATTCAACAATAACATGTTGTGGGACACGTGATAACGTTATCTGTCGAAAAACACGTTTAACGTGCGGTTGGAGGAGATTTAATAATAGTATTTCGATCTGGAATGTATTTTTTAGCTTCTTTAGAATTACACTTTCCAAAAGCAAGGATCCTATCGTGAACTTCGAAATTTTCCAACTGGAGAAAATCGACTATAATAATTCATCCAAAAAACAATTCCAATCCGTTGGAAAAATTTAGAAAACTTTTGCAAAGAAGTTTTCCATTCCCCCTCCTTCCAGAGATATAAACTGTCGAAAGGAGGAGGATAGGAAATCTTAAGAAAAAGCTGATGAAACGATTGATTAGAACTTTTGAACTCGATACATGAGAGAATAAATCATTCGTTTTCAACCACTCGATCAATCTCCTCTTCGCGCGATAACTAAATTGATAAATCGATAAGAGTTTGAAATTTATCTTGGAAACGTTTGGATAAATGTTAATATAAGTTTTGGAGGAACGGGAAGAAAGGAAAAATTGAGGTGAAATCGTGTGTCTCCCAATCGATCCTCGACATCTTGCGCCGGACCAATTCGAGATAGAACGAGGAAAGTCTGGATACGTTCGATCGCCGACTTTGTGTATTCTTGAAACTCGCGCGAGTTTTGAAGAGCGGGAAAGCGTGGGAATCGAAATTGCAAATCTTCGAGAAACTTTAAAACGATTCTATCCGGCGAGCCGTGATGAAATGACGCCCTCTGATAAAGTAATTACTTCGGATAAAATATAGAAACGAATCTACTCCTGGAAATGGAAATATTTTCAAATAAATTATCTCGGATACGTTGTTGTTTCCAACAATGTAAGAGGAAGCGAATAAAAATTTCGTTAATTCGACTCGAGTCGATATTTATTTTGATGAATGTCCGAATCTTGAAAAATACCAAGAATATTCTTTATTTAGTTAATATCTTTAAAAAATGAAAAATTAAACAAACTCGATCTGTCTTGATACCGTCGAAGTTAATCACGAGTTAATAAAGCTGATTTATCATTGGATCATTCTTACGTAATATTATACCGTGTAAATCTAAAAGGAAGCCGTATATAAATAAGTTCGTTTCCTCGAAACCGTAAGAGAACGTTTGCTCGTTTGTGACG